GGGATGTAGAAGATAGAATGTTGGACAATTAAACAGACGCATTCTGGACGTGAACAACAGAACTCCTCGTGTTCATTGCTCTTGCCAATTGCCAATTGTTTTTCAGAAATTCTTTCCTGCTACAGCCACCTCACCATTGCATTACACAAACACCAGGAAGTAGGCCTCAATCCTGCCCATGCATTAATAATAATAATAATAATAATAATCACTTTTATTTGGCCAGTTATGTTACACACAAGGAATTTGTTTCTGGTAGAGAACCGAGGCAGCCATCTGCGGCGCCAACTCAGACCATTGGCTCTAACCATCGGGGGCAACTTAGGGGTTGAGTATCTTGTCCAGGAACACTTCGACACGTGGACTGCAGAAATTGTGATTCGAACTCCCAACCCTCCAGTTGGGAGACAACCGCTCTACCCCCTGAACCACACTCGCCCCCCAAACCTGTTACCAAACATTTTGGTAACAAACCCATCCTTCTATGCTAGTTTACTCCAGTTTAACAGGCATAATGTTCACTTTTGTTGCAGTGCACAATTTATTAAATCCATGTACACCTCTTTACCCTATTCACACAAATTTCTCCTGCTCCAGAACTACTCACTGGACCTTGCTGAACTGTTGGGTAAATTGTTGACTCTGTCTTAGGCTCCACCCGTTTATACCCAAATCACCTAGCAGAGAGACAGCTGACTTGGCAAAAGCACCTATGACCACCCTCCAATGGGCCCAGTTGCCTTCGCGAAAACACCTACTTCCACCCTCCAATGGGCCACAATCATCTGCCTCCATTACTAATTCTGTTTTTTTAGGTTTTTATTCTCATAGGCCATTTCTACAGCATCCTCCCAGCGTACTGTAAGTTCCAAAAAACATCCTTGGTGTTTCTTCTGACCACAGCATGGAACAAGAAAATGGTTTCCGAAATCTACACTCAATTTCCAGTCTCTCCATGACTTCAGCTGCCATTTCCAGACTACTGCTTTCTTCCTTTTTCAGCCTCACAAACAAATAAAATCACATTGTTTCTTCTTTTTATTCACTGAGTTTATTGCTAGATGTTTACTTTCACTAACTGCTTCCAGATACTTCAACACCTGGTTATGTCTCCAGGCTTGTTTTATACCCTAAGAGAATGTGTCAGAGTGAAGCCGAGACACTGGCAAAAATGCTATTTTTTTTACATTTTAGGCCTCATTTAAAAAGTATCACAAAAGGATTGTACTAACCAATAATTCAGACTCAGACACATTTGATAAATGGTATTAGATCTGTACAAACCAATAAAAATATTGTCTTTGTAATGTTATTGGACACTGTCTTGTAAATATGATCGTATATTTTCAGAATACAAGTGATAACAAAGGCTGTTTGGTAGTGTTTTCCTGCATTATTCATTTTTCTCTTTGCACATTTGCTCTTTATTTGCAACATTAACCATTTTGTGAGCTCTGTCTTGTATTTACTTGGTTTAGAATGTTATAATTCTTTCAGCTCATTAACTTTATAACAGTGTGACAGAAGAGGTGCAGCAGGAGAATCACACAACCAAATACTCATCTGTTTAGCCAGAGTGATTTTGGAATTGTTACATATATCAAACCCTAAGTCCCAATTTAAACCTTTCACCTACCATCATGCACAAAGAGTTCACTTTACCTCGAATTTTTGTCAGAATCAGCCCATAAATAATAGGGTTGAGTATAGGTGGGATCAGGAGAAACTGTATGGCCATGAAGTTCTTCACACTCTGTGGCACAGATGCTGATCCATATCTCGAGTACATGAGGTCAAAGAGCAAAGCAGCTGTGACATTCAACAAACACAATAAATGTGGCACACATGTCTGTGTAAACTTTCTCCTGCCCTCTCTGGATTTTAAAGCTGATTTTACCACCTGCACATATGAAACCAAAATGAAGAGGACATGTCCTATATAGAAGGAAATAAAAAACAATCCAAAAATGTCATTAGCTTTGGTTGAACCACAAGCCAGTTTAACAACTGCCCAGTTCTCACAGTAGATTTTCTCTATGTGTGAGCCACATAATTTCAGCCTAGTTGTCAAAGTTACAACTATAAGTTTAGAGCACAACGGTACAAGCCAGGACAAAGCAACTAACACAGCAGTCCTTCTCAATGACATTACAGAGTGATACTCCAGTGGTCGACATATGGCCACATACCTATCATAAGCCATTAGAGCCAAAACTGTGTAGCCAACATTTACATAGGAGTAAATAACAAAGATTTGTAAAAGACATCCAACATATGATATTACATGAACATCAGACAGAAGATCAAAAGCAAATTTTGGGAAAAAACCTGCAGTCCCATAAAGTTCATTAATAAACAGGTTACACAAACAGATGTACATAGGTTCATGGAGGTTCTTATCCAGGATAATGGTTAAAATGAGAGACACATTTAAGACCAGAATGACACAGTAAGTTAATACAGTGAGAGAGAAAAGTGTGACTCTATAGTTGACTGTTGCATTGAAGCCAGACAGTGAAAATACTATTATACTAGATGTATTGTTCATTTTGTAACAATTCTCCAAAACAAATCTGTCAACATGATAAACAGTATTTAGAAGACAGAGTGCAATGCATCAAAAAGTTCATTATTCATTAGTGTGTGTCTATTTGCCTGAGTGTTCTGTTCAGCTGAGCTGAGTTAACAGAGGACTCTCGCTCCTTAAATGCAGGTGTGTGATAGAGTTTCATTCCTGACGTCATGTTTGAACGGACTTTTGTTCTGCTATTGTACTCAGTCCAGTGGCTTATTGAGGAATTGTTTTACATCCACCTTTCTCAAGAAACAACATCTGTGGTTGAGGTTTATTGTCAGTATTATTAAGACAACCTGGGATGAACTACTGCACTTGCAAGTATAAGGTGAAATTTCTGTGATATTAGGCCTAACAATTAAGGAAAAGGATAATCACCTTTATTGGCCAAGTATGTTACACACAAGGAATTTGTTCTGGTACAGAACTGAGGCAGCCATCTGTGGCACTGAGATTTGAACCTCTGACCTTCTGGTTGATAGCTGACTGCTCTGTCCACTGAACCACAGTCTCCCCTGACAGAATTAATCTGTCATCATAAAAACAACCTGGTTTTGTCCATGTCCAGAATATTCACTACCTTGTAATACTGTCTTACAATGGGTTCTTTTCAGCATTCAGTTGAAAAGTAAACTCATGAACACAAACACAGAGCAGGTAGAGTGGGTCGACCTCTGGTCACAGGGTTAGCAGTTTGATTCCCTGTCTCCCCAGTCCACATGACAAAGTGTCTTTGGGCAAGGCACTCAACCCCAAGCTGCTCCTGGTGGCCAGGCCAGCGCCTGCACAGTAGCTCCGCCGCTATTGGTGTGTCAGTGTGTGTGCAAATGGATGGATCTGTATAGCGCTTTGTCCAGGTAAGGCAGAAAAGTGCAGTCCATTTACCATATAGGTGTATGTATAAACTTGGTGTGCAAGTTTAGTGTGTTAATGCATACGATGAATCTAGAAATTTTAACATGTTACTCTTTTTTATGCCAATTAATCATATGAACAAGTTTGACCCCAACTTATTCTTGTAATCACAACGTGGCTGGATACCTGGCTAAGTGTGATAAGGACACGTCAGGCATGGATGGAGGCACCCCCTGTGTGCTGAACAGTAAGTTTCATTATGAAAAGCTTCCAGATGAAAGTTTGGATAAAACCAAAGTTGTGTGCACATATTGCAGTGATGAACTGTCCTTCCACCGAAGCATGATAAGTTTGAAGTACCATCTTTGGTAGAAGCACATTTTTGATTTTGTTAGCAAAGATGCTAGTGCTGGGACAGAATCAGAATCAGCTTTATGAGCCAGGTGTGTTGGACACACGAGAAATCTGACTCTCGTACAGTGGCCCTCAATGTGTATGAACATGTCAGCAAGCCAGAGAATGTGCATAAGGAAGGAGATAATAAATTTTTTTTTTTAAAAGAGTAGAGTACTTATAAGGTCAAAGGTCAAAGGGGTGGCTGTGGCTCACGAGGTAGGAGTCGTCTCCTGAACAGCAAGTTGGTGGTTCGACACCCTAAGTGTCCCTGAGCAAGACACTGAACCCTGAATTGCTCCCAGTGGCTTGACTAGTGCCGTTGTGTGGCAGCCTGTCGTCATTGGTGTGTGAATGTTTTATGTGAATGGGTGAATGGTGTATCATCTCGTGTAAAGCGCTTTTTGGCAGTGCAACACACTGTAGAATAAATGCACTATATAAATACAGTCCATTTAGCATTTACCAAAGTGTTTATTTGTCTTATGCACAGACTGACCGAAGTTTTGGGAAAGAAACGGTCAAATCCTGGAGTGTTTAAAGCTGTTTGGGAGATGCAAACTATAACCGCCGGCTGCTGGTACTATAAGATTATAGCGCAATCACTGGGTGACATAAATGGCACCATGTCTATGAAGCGATTCAACACTGAATGTGGCGTTTTCCAACAGACCCTCAACATGCCCTGCGAAGCCTGGGTGGAAATATTTAACAAATGGGGAGATGAAATCACCAACCTGTTTCATACCAGTCAAGAGTGGCAAGAGACAGTTCTGCTGAAAAGAGTCCTGTTTGCCTAACTGAGCCCCTCCTACCCAGCCACCTCTGCCCCCTAGAAGAATAAATAGAGGCCCAGGACTCTAGAGGACCAGACTCTCTCCATCTGACAACTATGGCTTCTTTCGATACAACGCCATCCTACGCTGAGATGATATTAGCCCTTAACCCAAACTACTGCTGCAATGAGGGGGAGCATCCATTTTGTTTAACACCGAAGGATCCTCATCAAGGCCTCACCACATCCCTGAGGAGAAACACTTCACTGTCTTGAAGTGGATGGACCTATGCACACGATGTTTTGGGACACGTTGAAATCCTTTGTGACTCGTGTCTTGCATGTAGCAATTTGTGAACTCAGCAAATTTCTCTGCTACGGATGTCAGATCTCTCACCCCAGTCAAATGCAGCACAGCTGTCTCTGCGGACTACCTGACTTTTTCCTGGAGAAACACTACAAGGTGCTTAAAAAGCTCGTGCTCACTAGCTGTTTCATCATTGCGGCACTAAAGTTGCTGGGAAAATACGACATCACAGTGTCTGAGGGAGAGGTGAGACGAGCCACGGAAAACATTTTAGATGAGCTAAAAGCTTCTGAGAAGGTGATGGATGTTTTGAACGACATACACACTGGCTCGGTGGGGGACTCTGTTTTAAAAATTGTTAATCTTCAAGAAGCAGAGCAGTTTTGGGAGGGCAAGGAGTAATAACCCCTGTTGTTGCTGCTGCTATGTGTGCTTTCTGTGTGCTTTATTTTCATTTATCCATTTTCTATTATTCTTTAAAAAAACATGTAACCGCTTTTCATTACTCTCATTCTAATTGCATCTACCCTTTTGTTATATATGTCGTGTCTAAAATTAATTCACAGGGAGAATCACTGCAGTGCCAATCATCATTTATTGAACAATATTCTATGATAAACGTTTTTGAAGGGCGAGACACAGGATCACCTTGATTTGGGCCTCTGCAGAGGTTCGGAGTCAGTCAGGTTAGTCTTCTCAGGTCCTCACATACACCCCACACTCTCTCTGAATCAATGCCCTACACTCTAAAAACATGCTCGTAAGCACAAGGAGTACTACTGTAACATGACAAAAGGCTCTACTCTAATCTACTCTTAAGTCCCTAATTACCACAACTTTCTAATTTACTGCTAATATAACACATAACACACTAAAGATAGACAGTCACAGAAAAGGAAAAACAACCGACCAGGTGATCCTCTATCCCCCCATACATAATAACACAATTTTAACAATACACATGTCTGTACTGTAAAACAAACTGCTTCAATGCAAACACTTTCTGACAGTTCAACACAGATCTTTCTTTCAAATTTCTCAGGCAGACTTGAGCAAAAAACCTCTACAAACGATAGTTTTGTGGCATTGGCATCATTTGAATCTTTCTTTAGACGCTCTGGTAAAGGAAAATTCCTGAGTGACCCCCCGGCACCGTAGCTTGATGCCATTAGTAGGCGATCGCCAGCAAGGGCCTGCACTGGATCTGAGAGCAAACAGAAAACAGACATAGTGAGATTCAAAATATAACACATGGATCATAAACATGAATACTAGGCTTAAACTAATGTGTAAATATCCTGTAATATACTGATTACTGTAGCTCATACAGTAAGTAACATGCTGTAATATAGTTCCATTACACCTAAACACCTTCACTCAGGAAGAACCTCCTACTCATAAATCTGTAATAATTTGCTGAAATGGAATGAAAATGATCAAATGAAAATACTCAGTAATAGGCATGATTAGATAATAAATGTGTAAAAATGATCAAATGTAATTGATCATCTGTAATTTGAATATATGAAGATGTGGTGTGATGTCATCCATCGTCCCTCTGTTGCAGCCTGATTCTGCTTCACTTCCTGCGCCATCATTACCATCTGCAGTGTTTTCCTCTCCACTGCTCTAAGTATCACTGACCTCATCACAGGAAGGCAACAGCTAATAACTATTAACTATATTCTAATCCTATTCTGACTATATTCAGTTTGCTTTTACCACTACATATATATTGTTTTTGGTATACATCATCAATGCATTTTTTAAAAACCTCTGTTAAATAGAGTTGTTGAAGTCACCTGTGTGCTTATTTTCATTTATCCATTTTGTATTATGCTGTATCACTTCTTAAAAAAAAAAACAAAAATGAAAAAACAAAAACATGTGACAGCTTTTTTACAGCCTGTGTTAAAGCTGTTGTTGTTATCTGTATGCTACTTTTCATTTATCCATTTTGTATTATTCTTAAGTGTTTCTTTAAAAACAATCAAATGAAACCATTACAGTGTGTGTGTGTCATGTTTTTTTTATATATGATTGGTGTGACATATAAGTATGTAAACTTATGTGTGCTATAAAATAAAACCATTCTTAAGTGTATAAAATAAAAATCACCCTAACAGGACTACTTAGAATAGGGGCTCAGAGAGGAGTGTTATGCTTTGCGGTAAACATGCCTGCTAAACTGGAGACTTTATTGAAGAAAATTTATTATAATCCAGCTCACCCTGGCAGCAGCTAGGAGTACCAAGAGGTTGGGTTGAAAATAAGCGTGGATCGTATCAAACAGTTTTTAGCAAAACAGGATGCTTACACCTTACATAAACCCGTGAGGATACGCTTCTCCAGAAACAGAGTATTTGTTTCCAGGCCTCTCAATCAATTCCAGGCCGATCTCTGCGACATGCAAGTGGTGTCCTCTTATAACCATGGATACAGATTTCTGCTGACTGTGATAGTTTTTTTCTAAAAAAGCATACGTTGCGCGATGCTTTCGCTTCCATTCTAGATGAGAGCGGTGCTCCTAAACAGCTTCAAACTGACCTAGGAAAAGAAATTTACAACAAGCTGTTTAAGGCTCTGATGAAAAAACATAACATAGAGCACTTTAGCACATCCAGCGAGGTCAAGGCGCCTGTAGTTGAACGATAC